GGATTTTGAGTGTGCATGTACATGTGCCAGAGTGAGTTTTAAGCCACCAGATCCAGGATTTGAACTGTGGTCGGCCACGTGGCCAGCACCTTAACCACTATGTCACCTGCTGGCCCCTTATTCTAAGTTGTTTTTTTTTTTTAAAGTAACAGAATATAAAAATCTTTAGATGGATATAAAAAGCAGCCAACAGAAGAGAAAATTAGTGATGTTACATAGAGTAAAGAAAATTTCCATAATGATACTAGACAGATAAAATAATAGAAAAATATCAGAAGAGATGTAAAAAAAAGTACAGTGATATCTTATATACATTTAGTGTCCAAGAAAGAATCTACGGAAGAGTCACAAGTAGTATTTACAGTTGACCTTTTTTTCCCCAAATTAATAAAATATAGCAAATCAAAGAATAAACAGAAGATGTGTATGCCGAGACACACGATAGTAAAATCGCTGAAAGTCAAACTCAATGAGAAAATGATAAGAGCTGCTGAAAAGCATGCGCACACATAGCTCAAAGTAGCAACAATTAAAACTGCTGACTTCATAACACGAAGAAGTCCAAAGACAATGTATTGATATTTAGAGGGCTCAGAAAAAATAACCACCTAGAGAAGAAACCTTTATGAATTAGGGTGGTGGGTCAGCCCTGTAGACTAATGGTTAAAGGAGCCAGATCCCATGTGACCAACCACGGTTCACATGCTGGCCCAGGCAGCTTGGGAAAAACAGGAGTCCCACGTGCACGCATGCCCCAAATCCTGACAGGATGGAGAAATGGAGGAAAAGGGATTGCGGTGACCCCGCCCCACTGGGGGATGCTTTTTTCCCTCTTCCTCTCTCTTTGCTGAGCACATACACCTGCTGACAAAGAAAAAGAATTAAGGTGGAATAAAGACATTTCAAACTAAAGGCTGAAAGAACATGTCAACGCCAGGCCTGCAGTATAAACATGCTGAGTGTCGTTCCCCATTAGAAGACGGGTGAAAGGCCAGCAGGTCGGTGCCATAGTGGTTAAGGCACTGGACTCTCGGGGAACCAGCAGTTAGCCTAATGGCTATGTTGCTGGACTCCCACGTAGTCGACCGTAGTTCACGTCCTGGACCCGGTTGCTTAAAACTCACGCCGGGCGCGTGTGCGTGCATGTCCAGGATCCCGAGAGGAGAATGGAGGAGAAGGGATTGCGGCATGACCATCCCCCTGGGAGGTGATTTCTTGCTTTCTGTCTCTATGTCTCTCTGTGTGTCTGGCGAGCGCACGCGCCCTATAGTGAAAACCTCTCCAAAGAAAAAAAAAAAAGGCACTGGACTCTCACATGGCCGTGATTTGAGCCCTGGACCCAGCAACTTGAAACTCTGTGGGCGTGTGTGTGCATGTATGCCCAAAATCCCAAGAGAAGAATGGAGGAGAAGGGATTACGACATGGCCAAACCCCCTGAGGGGTGAATTCTCACTCTGTCTCTCAAGTGAGGATATGTGTCCTACAGCAAAAATCTCTCTTTAAAAAAAAAAAATAAAAAAGACTGACGATTTCATATGGACAGTTGTAGAAAAGGGTTGAACATCTAGAAAACGTGGAGCGGTCTGGGGTAAACATCTGGGCATAGCAGAGTGAGTAGTGGATCTATAAAATGCACACGCGCACACACGTATGTGTGCAAATGAGAGAGAACAGGTGGAGCGATGTTAATGTTAGATGAAGTGTAACTGAGCCCACAAGAGCAGTTCGGGAGTGTGCAGGTACATCAGTATAGCACATTCCAAAGGACAGTGGTCGCTAATAACTTACTTGAAATGAATGTGATGAATCTTCACTGCAGTCTCCTCAACACATATCTAGGTACTGCTCTGTTCTACCCTCCCACATTTGCACCTGCTTCTTCCCTTTCTTCATATTTCCTAATTATCTTCTTCTTTCTTTCTTTTCCTTTTTAAAAATATTTTTTAAATTAGATTTTTACTATAGGGCATGTGTGCTCACCAGGAAGAGAGAGAGAGAGAGAGAGAGAGAGAGAGAGAGAGAGAGAGAGAGAGAGAGAGAGAAAGATGCTGCAATCCCTTCTCCTCCATTTTCCTCCCTGGAATTTGGGCACACACACCTATGTGCCTGGTGTGATCTTTTCAGCCCATCAGGTCCTGGACTTGACCCATAGTCAGCTGTGTGGGAGTACAGTGCCTTAACCACCACACCACCTGCCAGCCCCTGTGCTAATTTTCTCTTAATCTCTTCTTAGTCCTTCCTCCCCCGTTTCTTCTTTCAACTCTGTTAGTATCTCCCTTCTATTCCATCTCTCCTCCCCATCCTGTCTTTTTCCCTGCATTTGTCTCACCTGTTGTGGACCTGAGGATGCATTTTTAAATTAGAGTTAATAATTTTTTAAAATGGTGGTGAAATATACCTAGCCTAAAATTTACCATTTTAATTTTCTTTCTTTTTGCTATAGAACATGTGTACTCACGAGAGAAAGAGAGAGAGAAAGTGAGAAAGCATCCCTAAGAGTGATGGCTATACTGCAGTCCCTTCTCCATTCTCTTCTCAGGATCTTGGGCATGCATGCACACAGACTGGTTGTATTTTTCAAGCCCTGGGTCCAAGACTCAAACCATGCAGTCAGCCATGTGGGATCCAGCCATTTTAACCTTCATGCCACCTGCTGGCTCACCATTTTAACTATTTTTAAATATACAGTCAGTGGCAGTGAGCATATTCATAACCATCACCAAAGAGGAGTTCAAAAAGTTTATGGGAGGGAACCAGCAGTTAGCGTAATGGCTATGTCGCTGGACTCCCACGTAGTCGACCGCGGGTCGTGTCCCCAAGACTCAAACCACGCAGTCAGCCATGTGGGATCCAGCCATTTTAACCTTCATGCCACCTGCTGGCTCACCATTTTAACTATTTTTAAATATACAGTCAGTGGCAGTGAGCGTATTCATAACCATCACCAAAGAGGAGTTCAAAAAGTTTATGGGAAAAAAATGTAATTAGAGAGTTTATTTTGTTGCAAAAAATTTTTAAATCCTCATATAGATTCTTCACAACGTGCATTTTCAGTGAACTTCTTGAAGATCACCTCTGTCATCAATCTTAAGATATATATCTGTTGCATATTTCACAGCTTTCTAATGCCTCATAATTAATGACATATCATACTTAAATGGCAGTATTTTTCATAGAGTATTTTACAACAGGTGTATGTTAGAGTCAATAAAATAAGATCATTTTTCCTGTGGGTCATTTATGGGATAGAATTATCCAAATCTTGTCATCTATTTCAAAAATGCTAGGCATGATACATTTTTCTAACTGAAATGACTTTATAAGAAATCTTTAGTTATGAAAAGTAACACTTTCCCCCCCGTTTGCTAGAGGGTACACGTGCTCACTGGAGACAGAGAGAGAGAGAGCGAAAGTGCCCTCGCAGGGGATGGTCATGCCGCAGTCCCCCCTTCATTTCTCTTTCAGGATTCTGGGCATGCATATACACATGCCTGACCTGTTTTTCAAGTCACCAAGTCAAGGACTCGAACCACACATTCACCATGTGGGATCCGGCCATTTTAACTACTACACCACCAGCTAGCCCAGTAACATTTTTAAATTATCTTACATTTGATACAACTTTCAGAAGAAGAATAAATGCATCCCACCAAAAACAACTAATTGTACTATTAGTGTTGAACTTTGATTTACCATGTACAAGAGGAGTGTGTTGAGTTCTCTTTCCCACTATACACGGTGGCAGGTGAAAAAGCTGCGAAGCAGGATACTAAGGCGAAGAAACCTGAAGGCTGATGCCAATGGCCAGGTTAAAAAGGGTGACCCCAAGGCTAAAAAGCCCAAGGAGGGGAAGCCCATTGCAGCCAAAACCCCGTCCTAGTCCGGGGCATCGGCAGATACTCCTGGTCGGCCATGTATTCCAGGAAGACCGCGTACAAGAGGAAATACTCGGCCCCTAAATCCAGGATCGAAAAGGAAAAGGAGAAGGTTCTTGGGACTGTCACGAAACCAGTTGGTGGAGACAAGAGTGGTGGTACCCGGGTGGTTAAACTGCACAAATTGCCTAGGTATTATCCTCCTGAAGGTGTGCCTTGGAAGCTGTTGAACCACAGCAAAAAACCCTCCAGTCAGCATGTGAGAGAGCTGTGAGCAGCATCACTCCTGGGACCATTCCGATCATCCTCACTGGATGCCACAGAGGCAAGAGGGTGGTTTTCCTGAAGCAGCTGAGCAGTGGCTGCTACTTGTGACCTGACTGCTGGTTCTCAATCGAGTTCCACTGCGTAGAACACACCAGAAACTTGTCATTGCCACCTCCACGAAAATTGATATTAGCAAAGTAAAAATCCCAAAGCCCCTTACCGACGCTTACTTCAAGAAAAATGGCGGAAGCCCAGATACCAGGAAGGTGAGATCTTCGACACAGAGAAGGAGAAATACGAGATTTCAGAGCAGGCGAGATTGATCAGAAAGCTGTGGACTCGCAAAAATCAAAGCTGTTCCTCAGCTCCAGGGCTACCTGTAATCCATGTTAGCCCTTACAAATGGAGTTTATCCTCACAAATTGGTGTTCTAAATTTTTTGCTAAGAACCTAATTAAATAACTGATTATATATAGAAAAAAAATTTTTTTTAAAGTGTGGTATATTTTACCGTAGAATTTTCCTTTCTCCCAGTGCACACTCATCCCTGTACCGAGACACGTGGGCACCATAGTGCAGTTAGCCGGCAGTCACAGCGTGCAGCACATGGAGCTCGCTCTTAAACGGAGTAGACCCCGTGGCTCCCCTACTTGAACTGCAGTCAGCCATGTGGGAGTTCAGTGCCCTTAACCCCCACACCACCTGCTGGTCCCATGTTCCACATTTTGATCTCCCTGTGACTACTGGACAGTGTGACCACCTCTTTGCTTTGAGTGTTGTGTGCTCTCTGTGCATTCTTTGGGAGTGTTTGGTACTGGTTTTAAAGGGTTCATCTTTTCCCCATCTTGATTCTATAGCTTGCAGTGAGCTGCATACTCCATCGCTAGATCGAAAACCAAATAGTTTTGTAGCAGTGAGTGTAACCACCCCTCCTCAGGCATTCTGGACGAAGCATGCGCAGACGGAGATCATCGAGGTGAGTGCTACTGGGGCCTCTCTCGGGGGGGTGGGGGGCCCGGGCAGGCCATCCGTGCCCCTGTGGTGTTTCCGGCCTGACGGAGGTGGGGTGGCCAGCTCCCTGAGCCATACGCATGCCAGTTGTTGCTGTTTGCCTCTAGGTTTTCAGTACATCGATAGTTTTCATCACACTCATCTAGGTGACATGTATTAATACGTTTGCTATAGACTTCACAATTACTGCTTAACCACTGGCTACTTATCTTTGCGAAGTGATTCTATACGGTTGATTGCCTTTTAAATAGTGAGACCTAATTCTTCTTGTCACTTGTGATTGGCTGCCACTTGTGGAGAATTGTGCTCATTGGTCACAGCTTGGAGGAGAGTGGGATCACCTGGATGTAGCCTTATTTTTGATTCGTTTTATTATGGCTTTTTTTTTTTTAGCCCGGTGAGTTTTGTGGTATATGTTTTCTCTTTATATTAAATCAGATTACATGCATTCACTGAGAGAATTATGCAGTTTTTCTTACAAAATTGAGCATGGTGCATAAGTTATGACACTAAGTGCAGGAGTTGCTGGTATGAGGTTCTACAGTTTATTTGTAATGTGAAGAATTATCAAGCAAACTTAGACTGTAATTTGTCTGGTTCCTCTGTTTTACATTTCAGAAGCTAGACTAACCCTTTTAGTATCTTAGAAGCTTGTTTCCAAGTTCACGGCAACAGCTTGTTTTCTAAGCATTCCTTGAGCGCCACCTACATACCTGTCAGTGTTGGCGCCTTGGACGCTGCGATGCTCCCTACCCTCTACCCTCGGCAGCTTACCGTCCTGTGGTTGGGGAGACAGAAATGAGTGTGGCTGCTCCCATGTGCAGTAAAGGGTGGGATGCGTTAGAGTAGAAGGGTGAGAAGAACCCCAGGAGGGCTGGGTCCCATCCAGTCCTGAGGTCGGAGCAGACTTCCCAGGCTGGGGTTTAATGGCATCTGCTTCAGTCGCTCTGGGGGTGGGGGTGGGGCCGTGGACTCTGCATTTCTCATAAGTTTCCAGGCGATGATCAAGCTGGGGTCCGGAGCCCACAGAGTTCTGTGGTGGTTATGCAAAGGTGTGATGATAGGAAAGTTCATACGGATTTGAGAAGAACTGTCCTGTTAGGTGTGTGCAAAAGCACAAATAGGAAAACGAGGAAGGGAGGCACTGAACGCTGGGCCAGGGGGTTTGTGTCGCAGCTCACAGTCATGAGCCAGAGCAGGCTTTGGTGCAGGAGGGTCCTGCCCAATGTGCAAACTCAGGCAGGCATTCAGCGCAGTGGTGCAGGCCCTGGCTTTGCAGCAGCAGGGAGTGGGAAGGTGCATGCGAGGGAGGCTGTGGAGGTGGATCCTGTGGGAGTTCTTTGTCACTGGGTGAGTGAGACCAACACAGAAGGATGCACCAAAGTGGACACCAGGTTTTTAGCCAGCTTGGAAAGAGGGTCAGAGATGGCCTTAACTGAGGGCAGACAGAGGGAGAGATTGAGTTGAGTTGAGGCTCTGGCAGGCGCCCTCCTCCCAGCAGGCTCTGATGGGCTAGATCTGGGGCCACAGAGAGAACGCGGTCATTACAGCAGGTACGAAAACACCAGTAACAGTTCGACTGAGGTGGTTCATTATGACCTAAAAAAGCAAATACGATATTATGTGGCCTTGAGGGGCTGGGCTAAGTTGCAGGAAATAGACACCTACACTTTAGAAACTAGCAGCTGGTCCTAAAAAGGATAGCTTTAAAAGTCAGGCTTTAATTATTCCACATACAGAATTCTTGAAATAATACGCCACTTCAACCATTCATTTCCGCTTTCTGCTGCTTGCTTGTTCATCTTAAAAGAATAATCGAAAACAGTCGGTCCAAGTCCATAGTGCGCCTCAGGTTGTGACATTAAGAACGTGCGTGGACACCGTTTCAGAACGTCCCTCCTCCTGGGTAACACCCTTTGGAACGAGCCCGCAGGCCTGGCCTGTGCAGTGGGCTGCTTTGCTGTGTCTGGATCCCGCGGTAACCGTCTACGCCAGGCTGCCTTTTCCTCTTTCGGAAGGCTGTCTTTGAGCCTCCGCACCCGCTTAAGTGGCCAGTAGCATTCGTGTTGATTCCAGTCGGCAGGAATGTGACTTTCTCCTTCAGGAAATGGCGGTGTACTTCGAAAAGTCCAACTCTGTATTCTGATGATTTTCTTTTCTGTTCTAGGGAACCAACAACCCCATATTTCTAAGTAGCATTGCCTTCTTTCAAGACTCTCTCATCAATCAGATGACACAGATCAAGCTCTCCGTGTATGACGTCAAAGATCGATCTCAGGGAACAGTTAAGTGACACGTTTAGTGGGTGGGATGTCCTTCTTTTTTAAAGTTGTGTGATCATTAGAGTGAGAGGCGAACGTGGGTGGCTCACAGATTAACTCCTGTCTGAGCGTGTCCGTCTTGGGACATGTCCTGAGCGTTCCTGTCGGGCTCCTGAGATGGGTGGGGAGGCGTGCCGTGGGAAGCAGGTGGCCGGACTGTGCCAGGCTGCGGCCCTCTGATCAGAGGCAGCATGAACTCACTGACGCCGCCTGTCCCTCCTCTCCCTCAGATGTACCTACTGGGCTCTGGAACCTTCATTGTCAAAGACCTGCTCCAGGACCGGCACCACAGGTTACATTTAACGCTAAGGTTGGTATGGGGTTCCAGTCCTTTGGAAGAGTCTAGAATTATGAGGTCCAGGACGCATAGGGAAAGCCCCCACTTCCATTTCTGAGAGAGCAGCCTGCTCCCTCGCAGAAGCTGGTCCCAGTGGTGAGGGCGTTGTCCATGGAGATGAGGTGAACGTTCAGCCCATCAGGGGACCTGGCAGCGAGGGCAAGCGTGTAGCGTGTGAACACAGCGGCGCTCATACCTACAGGGAAGCCTGGGTACATGTCTGACAACATCAAGCGAATCGGTCTGTCCCTTCCCCGACAGCGTGTAATCTCTCGGGTAGCTGAGATTTGTGTCTGCTTTGCTTCAAGCACCTAGAACAGGGCTTGGAGCTGAGTAAATCATTTTGGGGGGGAATGAGTGAATGAAAGGGAATCCCCACTGTGTCTCTAGAGGGGAAGGTGAAAGATGTCAGGCTGTCTCATCTTCATTTTAGGGGAAGTTCCCACCAAGACCACAACATGGATTGTTTTTTCCCCCAAAATATCAATAGCATAGAAATTTAAACAATATTGCCTGGGGAGATAGTCCAAAATTACAAAGAAAATTTGACAAGGATGCCCCTGCCATGTAGAGCCATCCTGACACTGCCGTGGGAGACGACAGCTCTGCAGTCATTGGCTGCAGCTTCTCCTCGTGTGTACAGGGAACCCGGTGAGGAGAAAGGGAAGGCCTTTAGGTTAAATGCAAGGGGAAGGACCGTTAGAAAACAGCGTTTAGGTATATTAGCTGCCAGAACTAATTCTAGCTGGATTAGAGTCAAATGTAAGAAATGGACATCCTTTTCTGAAAAGAGCGAAGGATGACTATTAAACAGGGAAAACATCTCTAGGCATGAGAACAATGAAAATCACAAAGTAAGCGGTCAATAGCTGTGACCACATAAAAGAGTCTGACATCGTAAATAAAGACACAAGGCTTTGGGTGTCCTGGGGCTGTCCTAGAGAAGTCAGATGGGCCCAGGCGCCATCACCCAGAACCGTTTCAGGGGCGGAGCTGACCAGGGCTGGCATCTGTTGTATCCTGTCAAGATTCACAGACTTGAGGAAACCCTGGCTGGTCTTGGAGTCCAGGCGTAGACCTCGGGGCTGGGGTGGGAAGGAGCAGAGAGGACCCTGTGCCAGAAAACCGTGCTCCCTCGTCCTGACTCTGAGAGGTTGTCCCCATCAGTGACTGCGCGTTAACTCTGCCTGGGGAAGCCCCTGCCGACCTCATCAGGCACGGCCACACTTCCCCGTGTGCTCTGTCTGCTGCCTTAGTCCACTTCACACTGGCTTTGCTAGCGAATGCCTGAGGCGAGAGCTAGAACTCCCTTGGTCTCACGAGACATCGTTCCTCTAGTCACGAGAGTGTGGCCTCCACCAGGCCATCACCAGGATCCAGTCACTGCCTCCTGGGCCTCACCACCTCCCAGCACTAAGTTCTAAAACACAAAACTAGGGACCAGCAATGATCCAAACCAAACGTGCCCTCTCGCAGCCCCACGCTCCCTCGCCTGCTCCCCAGCAGGGAGTCTGAGCACAGGAAATGGAAAGCTGGCGAGGCCTGCCACTTCTGGGAGTCCCGATGAGCCAGGATAGCAGAACTTTGCATTTAAACAGAGAGGAAGTGCAGTCTGGCTGCCGCTCACCAAAGCCGCTTGCCCCGTTGCAGGTCCGCAGAGAGCGACCGCGTGGGTAACATCACGGTGATCGGCTGGCAGATGGAGGAGAAGTCGGATCAGCGGCCCCCTGTGACCCGGTCTGTGGACACTGTCAACGGGAGGGTGAGTACACCACCCTCCTGCTCTCCCTTAGGGGCAGGAGGGCCTGTCGGTGTGGACTCAGCCTCCTTGCTCAGCACAGGGCAGGGCCTGCCGTGTGGTACTGCCCCTCAGGATGTTCGATCCTCCCAGGGAGGGAGAAAGTGCTCCTCGCTGCCCGCTTTGAGAGGGCGGGAGTGAGTGAGCGAGACCCCGGAGGAGGGACTGCAGTCGGGGGTAGGGCTCGTGGGTCAAAGAGGCACTTGAGACCCAGGCCTTCTCTGTGTTTTGTTAATATCTTCCTCTCCCAGAAACATGCCCCCCGGCTGATGGAGGAGAAGTCGGATCAGCGGCCCCCTGTGACCCGGTCTGTGGACACTGTCAACGGGAGGGTGAGTACACCACCCTCCTGCTCTCCCTTAGGGGCAGGAGGGCCTGTCGGTGTGGACTCAGCCTCCTTGCTCAGCACAGGGCAGGGCCTGCCGTGTGGTACTGCCCCTCAGGATGTTCGATCCTCCCAGGGAGGGAGAAAGTGCTCCTCGCTGCCCGCTTTGAGAGGGCGGGAGTGAGTGAGCGAGACCCCGGAGGAGGGACTGCAGTCGGGGGTAGGGCTCGTGGGTCAAAGAGGCACTTGAGACCCAGGCCTTCTCTGTGTTTTGTTAATATCTTCCTCTCCCAGAAACATGCCCCCCGGCTGCCCCCACACACCTCACCTTCTCAGCACCCTGTGCCCACCCTTCCTCCCCTCCCCTGGATACACCTCCCGCACCCCCTCACAGAGTCTCTTGCACAGACACTGATGTTCTCAAATAAGAATTGTGATTCAAGGCCCGCGACACAGGTTAAGCGGTCCCTGTTGTAAGGCTAGCCCAGAATGTTGCTCTGGAAGTAGCTCTGCATCGTCATACGTAAAAAAGCACACAGCAAAATGACTTAGAAGAGGTGCATGTCTAGAACATGGAGGGGGCCGTGCGTGGAGAGCGTTCTGTGTACCTAGAGGTGAATTAATTTGTGGCTTGGGCGGTGTGTTTATTGTAGAGTTACTGGTGGACATTCATTTTAAGAGCTTTTTATGGTATACTTAGGCCACCATTTCTGCAGAGTGCCCTGGAGACCTCTGAGTGTCATGTGCTTTTTTGTACGCCTTATTAGATGGTTCTGCCCGTCGACGAGAGCTTGACCGAGGCACTAGGAATCCGATCCAAGTATGCGTCCTTGCGGAAGGATACCTTACTGAAGTCAGGTAAGCAGCTTCCTCACTGGTACTTGGGCCCATGTCCCCCTTTGCTCCCCACCCACTGTGATTGTCACAGCCGGGCACCCTGCATGTCCCTGCTCTGCAGCTTGTCTGTATGCCATTATGTGTACAGCATAGGAAGAGTTAGTGCTCCGAGGAGGGGCTGCTTCTGCGTCTCACTCTTTCTTGTTTCGCACTGGGCTTGGTGACTGGCAGCCTCCCCTCGCCAGCCCCCGCTCCTTGGAATTCGCATGTTCTGTGACAAGGAGATCACACGTCGCCGGGGAGGGACCTCAGGCTCAGCCACTTGGCGGGTTTTGGTTTAAGTGTTTTAACTCATTGAAGCGGCCAGTAAGGGGACTTGAGGGTGTCAGGGTCACTCCCCAGGGCCTGGGGGCGGGGGCCCAGCTCACACGCAGCCTGTCTCCCCCTCATCCTACCCACTTCAGTGTTCGGCGGTGCCATCTGTCGCATGTACCGGTTCCCCACCACCGACGGCAACCACCTGCGGATCCTGGAGCAGATGGCAGAGAGCGTGCTCTCCCTGCACGTGCCCCGGCAATTCGTGAAGCTCCTGCTGGAAGAAGATGCGGCCAGGTGAGCCGTCTGCTGGGCTGACCGCCCCTCACAGCACATCTGCGCCCTGCCTTTCTGAGGAGCAGCGGACAGAGCAGTGGCCTCGGGTCGGCTGGACGACAAACCCAGCCTCTGCCGCGAGCTGGCGAAAGCTGCGTTTGCGTCTCTGTGTCAGGGCTTCCTGTGCAAGGGCTTCACAAGCCAGCGTGCTCCAAGGTCCCGATGTGTGCCCAGCACTCAGCTCCCTTTCCCTTCTCCCCTTCCCTCCCCTCCCCTTCTCTTTCCCCTCTTATTTCTCTGGCAGGAAATTAGAAATAAGTAGTCATTCTTTGGTCACAGCTTCCCAGGTCAGTGGTTTCCCAGGTTAGGGCCACAGAGATAAGGGCTCAGAAGACCAAGTGTGACCCGTCAGGGCACTCAGCCCCAGGGAGCACTGGTCTCGGCCTTCTGCAGCGCTCAACACAGGCCATTATTTTTTGGGGCAGATCCACCAAACCCAAAGCACACAACGCCTATATTAGGTGGCTCAGGGCCTGCAGATTATGTTCCCCTCTGTCTCAGACTGTCATCTGCTCTCTGTCCTAAAACAATGCAGATCATAAACATAATACCCCAGAAGCATGGAAGAAAACAAGACAACCAGAATCCTGTTTTGTTTGTTTGTCTTTAGGTTTTTGTCTTGCCACAGAGGAAAGAGAGATCAGAGAGAGGGAAAGTGAGAAATCACCCCCCACCCCCAGAGGGGGGAGCCACACCATAATCCCTTCCCATTCTCCTCTCAGGATTTTGGGCACACACACACATGCCTGGCAAGATTTTCAGGCCACGGAGTCTAGGACTCAAACTGCAGTTGACGACGTGGAAGTCCAGTGTCTTAACCACCAAGCCACCTTCTGGCCCCATAGTCTTACTGTTTTAATACAGCGCTTTCATTATCATTTTTCGTCTTAAAAAAAAAAAACAAAAAACCTGAGCATAGAGAAGAACGGCAGGAACAATGCAGTGAGCACCTTTCACCTAAATTCACCAGTTGGTGATACTTGGTTAATCACTTTATCTCTTTGTATGTACACTTTCTTTTTCTCTTCCTTAAATTATTTTATTTGACATGATTTATTTATTTATTTGACCAGAGAAAGAGAGAGAGAGAGAGAAAGTGAAAGAGAGAGAAAGTAAGAAAGCAAGCTGCTAGGTCCAGGACTTGAACCATGGTCAGCCATGTGGGAATCTAGTGCCTCTAACTACCACACCCCTCGCCTGCCCCTTTATGCACATTTTCTTTTTTTTTATTTGGAGATGTTTTTGCTATAGTGCGCGTGCACTCGCCAGACAGAGAGAAAGAGACAGAGAGACGGAAAGTGAGAAATCACCCCCCAGAGGGCATGGTCATGCCGCAATCCCTTCTCCTCCATTCTCCTCTCGGGATCTTGGGCACGCACGCACATGAGCCCGGTGTGAGTTTTTAAGCCACTGGGTCCAGGACATGAACTGCGGTCGACTACATGGGAGTCCAGCAACATAGCCATTACGCTAACTGCTGGTCCCTATGCACATTTTCTAATAGTCATTTTAATTTAAATTTTTTTTCATGCTTTGTTCATGTTTATATATTTGCATAGCTACAACTACTTTTTCATGAATCTTCGGTTTTCATGTTTTAGTTTTTAATGATGGCCTAGTGTCCTGTTGTGTGTGTGATAACTTTAAAGAGTTCTTTCATTTAACAGTGCTTTAGTTCAAGGATTTCATTGCTCTAAGCAGCAGCAGTGACTCAGGCTCTGTCCTCCGTGAGGGCGGCTCTGGATGAGGGTCAGAAATAGAGTGGAAGCCTCACACGGGAGCTCCAGACCTATGTGTGTGCCAGAAATGAAGAGAGGCCGTGAGAATGCAGAGGCCAGTCAGGGCAGCACTCTGACAGGTGATGGCATTAAGCTGAACTTGAAGCAAAGGCAACAGATGTGAAACAGATTGGCCGGGACATCCCAGAGAGAGGGGCCAGCAGCGCCGGGGAAGACTGAAGAACCTCTGGCCACAGGGCCGGCCGGCTCGCGGTGGACGAGGACGGTTTCACCGCAGCCCTGTGCACTGGGTGTGCTTTTGTGTTACTTTTGCTATCTTTGTCTTTTTCCTTTTTGCCAGGGGACACATATGCTTCCCAGAGAGAAAGAGAAAGAAAAAGCACCTACAAGTGGGACATAGTCTTGTCACATCCCTTTCCCTGCATTCTTCCATCCCATCAGGACTTTGGGCACACACATGTACGTGCCCAATGTGTTTGACAAGCTGCTGGGGCCGGGATTCAAACCATAGTCAGCCATGTGAGATCCAGTTTTCTGTGCATTGCACTTAACTACTGTACTGCCAGGCTAGCCCAATTTTGCTATTTTAGTAATAATAAAAATAGTATAACTTTTTTTTTTTTTTTTTTTTTTACTTTGGACAATTTAGTAGATTCCTAAAAAATTTCATAAATTTAGCTTTTGTTTTCTCTTTTTCTCAAAAGAAAATGTGCATACTGTAAAAAGCCAAATAGTGCTAAAAGGCTTTAACTGAAGACAACACTGGGTCTCTCTACTTTCTGATCTACTTCACAGAAACAACCACACGGAACAGTTTCAGTAATCGCTGCTGGTAGATACTGTCTTCATTAATCCGTCTCAGGGCCAGGCTACTCATTTCCCATGACAGGGACTTCAGGCCTTTCATACTGGGCCGTCAGGGAAGTCATGATGCATTTTGCCTAGAAAAACAGGAAGATATGTCACGGCTTTCCCAATCACCCAATACTTTCCCAGTTCTCATTTTCCTAATATGGTTCTTTTTTTTTTTTTTTTTTTAAACTCCATCGTATTTTTGCTGTTATGATTATGTAACTTTTCATTGCCGAGTTGAGGAGTTTAGGTAAGTGCTCCCTGACTTAAAGCTGGTTCAACTCACATGGTGGTTTGACTTCACGATGGTGCAAAAGCAGTAAGCGCTCAGTAGGAACCGTAGCCCATCAAAGTCAGGGACTTCGTTATGGTGTCCACTTACAGTGCATTTTCGACTCACCGCAGTTGTGACTTTTGATGGGTTTATCGGGATGTAACCCCATTGTAAGTCTAGGACTGTAGTTTCAGTTTTTTGATAGTGTTTGTTCTTCTGGAGGTATCAATTTCTTTTTCTTCTTCCATTTCTTCCTTTCTCCTCTCCCCCTACCTCTGTCAAACACACAGGTTTAAGAAAAGGCCAAGACCCAGTCTGTGTGGTTCAACCAGCACTGACACAGCAGACCAACTTTAGGCTAGTGCAGTTCATTCCTTACGTAGGGAGCGAAAGGAAGACGAGCCACAGATGCTGGTTCCCTTGTCCTGGGCTCCCTGTGGTCCTTTCCCCATACTCTAGAGGGAAGACGGGGACAAAAGGGGCTGAGGCCTGCAGCAGCAGTCGGACCCGTTGCTGAGGAGCCAGGCCTCGGCTCCAGCTGAGCAGCCGAGTGTTCTGCAGCTCTTCTCAGGGGTGTGGCAGAAGCCTACGCCTCATCGGAGCCTGGGAGGCGATGAACAGCTGCCTACAGCCTCCTAAGGGAGACAGGGAGGCCAGCGGGAGGTGGGTCGTGGCAGTCACCCACACCCCAGTCCTCTCTGCTCTCTCTCAGTCGTCTCTGAGTGCTCCCAGATGACAGGTCATCCTGCCCTAGTCCAGGCCGGCTACCACGTGAGCCTGGGCCTGCGTGGGTATGTGCAGGGCGCCAGGGTGGAGTCACTCCCCGACAGCCTCTCTCCTTCCCCCAGCCTATGCTTAGTTTCCTGGGGACATACCACTGAGTTATTTTTCCCACGTGGTCAGTGGTCTGCTTCTTCTGTGGCCGTCTGCTCCCTCAGCTTCCTGGCTGCCCTTTACATGGGTCACGTGACTGGGTGCTGGGCCACCCTGGGTGGCAGTGCTACTTCCGTGTGTGTTGTTTTCCTGGTCAGGCCTCCTGGACCTCCAGGAAAGGGAGCCAGCTCTGTGACCTGACACGTGTGTGTGTCTCGCTTGCAGAGTGTGTGAGCTGGAGGAGCTGGGGGAGTTGTCCCCTTGCTGGGAGAGCCTCCGGCGCCAAATCGTCACCCAGTACCAGACCATCATCCTCACGTACCAGGAGAACTTGACCGACCTCCATCAGTACAAAGGTGGGTATGGCCCATCCTCTCACACCACGCACACGCTTCACCTCCCTGACCAGGGATCTGGACCCCATGGGGGTCACGCATCATCACTGACAGACACTGTAATGTGTGTTTAAAAATAAATCCTCCTGTAGGTGTGAGTTCTTTCAAAGATGGGTTTTTCAGATCTTAATTAGAAAGACAAATCTGTGAACCTCAGCGAAAGGTCCTTCTAGGGTGTCACCTGCCAAAACAGTTACTGTGGGTGAAACCTAAGGGAGACAGAATCACTGGCTCGTGTTATTTATCCGAAAGGACGTGGGCTGTTTGCCTCAGGCAGCAGTTTTCCAGATTTCCCGGATTTGATACGTGGTTGCAGGGCCGGTTCCAAGGGAATGCACCGCTCAGGAGAAGCTCCCACGGGGTGACCATGTTTCGAGTCCCTGCCTGGGCAGCCTGAAATGCGCCAGGCGTGCACCCAAGTGCCCAAGGTCTGAAGGGCCGGAGGGCAGGGGCCGAGGGCAGGGGCCGCGGCCTGACCAGACTCGGTGGAGGCTGCTTCTCTGTCTCACGTGTGCCACACGCTCTATCGTGAGTACAGGAGAAGTTCTATCTAGTGGCGTTTTTATTGAACATACACATTGTCAGAGTGGAACTCTCCCCTTTAAGACTCAAACCAGAAAGTGAAGTGTGAACACCTCCCCTTTTCCTCTTGGACGTTGTTGTTTGATTTTCAGAACACGCTCAAGGTAGACTCGGAAGGCTCTTCATAACTCATTCCTCATCTATTCCGAACAGAATTAAACTTTTTGATTTTTCATTACTTACCGCTTTAGCATTTTAAATTCTGTTTTCTGATTCTTCTTTTCCTCCACATAATGGAATTCCACATAGTGGAATGTCAGGGTTTAAGGAAAATCGTAAAGCCTTCATGTGATTTTAACACAGAGTATATTAACCACCCTTGAACCTGGAGAGAAACAGCCAGAGAGAGGACTGACAGGATGGTGGCGCCTGGACGTAGCCAGAGCTGAGGTACGGGTCTGCGTGTGGCCCTTAGAGAAAAGTCAGCGTTTGCCTGCCGAGCGGAGGGCCCACCTGGCTGGACGACTGTCCCTGGGAAGGTGGAAACCCACACAGCCTGGAGTTTTCTAGAGAAGAGCGCCTCCTCTGTCCGCGTGCACCAGGTCCTCTGGGAGGCCCGTTGTCTGTAGGGCTGAGTCCTCTGTTTGTCTCTGGCTTGTCTTACTGAGTTCTTCTCCTCTGATGGTCAGTTTAATTCGTAACTCCCTTTGTTTGGTAGGCAAGTTATTTTTCACTTCATCAGTTATGGATTCTGATTATAGAAAAAAGACTGTAGATAGCTGTCTCACACACACACACACACACACACACACACACAGCTAACCTTAACCAGCCAAGCAAGATTCGGGTGCATGTTCACATTTGTTCCCAGTGCCACATCTCTCCGCGCATCTGGACGGGCTTGGGGTGATGAGAGGCCCTTTGGGTGCTGCTTAGGAGGAGCTGTGCCGGCCTACCCACGCCGGTGTCCCAGACCTCAGTGATGGTGCTCTCCAGCGCTGGAGAAGCCGTCTCTGCGCGGCCGTGTGCTTTGTATAGTGCGCTGACACCGCGCCCGCCACGCACTGCCCTGTCTTTGTGGCAGGTGTCTTGGCTGAGAGCGGAGTCTCCGCAGGCACGGCATCGTTGCCGCAGCTCCCGAGGCTGCCCTGCCTGGCTCCATCCACCCAGGCACCCAGAGCCAGCTTCCCAGTGAACTGCCCCCTCCAGTGTTTGGCCCACCCGCCGTCAGGAAGGGAACTGGCGCACTCAGAGTTCTCTAGGCCGCTGCCCACACACTCCTGCCTCCGTGCGGCAGCCCTCCTTCCACTCGGCTCAGTTCACGGACGCAGGCCACATTTGATGGCCTTTGTTTTCTCATCCTGTTTCTTAGGTCCCTCATTTAAAGCAAGCAGCTTGAAAGCAGATAAAAAGTTGGAATTTGTCCCCACAAACTTGCACATACAAAGGATGAGAGTTCAGGATGACGGAGGATCAGGTACCTTTCCTTCTATCCCTCCCGTCCAGTCCTATTCTGCCCTTCTCCCTGGGTACTCGGTCGCGGAGTACATCCGCCCCAGCTTCCCTGCATGCTCTGCTGCGGGACTACTCAAAGAGCACATCACAGGGCCTCTGAGAGCTCTCTGTTAAAACGTCCAAGCCCCTTCCCGCCTCCTCCCTCCCGCTTCCTTCTGTGTTTCTGGAGCAGGCGGTTGCCTGTCAGTTGGCCCTAAAAGGAGGGGTGCACGCATGCATTGCTGAGCGGTTTCCTGTGGACATTCTCATCCCCTTTGCTGAGATGAGGGTGCCGCTCCTGCGGCCCTAGGGCAGCCCTAGCTGTGGACCCAGGGAACTAAAGGCTGCTTGACAATGCTGGAGGGGCAGGACCCCAGGCTGGGCGCACCCGCCTGTAGCCGGCCTATCCACAGGCTGAGCCAGGGTAATGGAGAAGAGCTTTCTGTCGTTAGATCAGAACTATGACGTCGTCACCATCGGCGCGCCTGCAGCGCACTGCCAAGGCTTCAAGTCGGGAGGGCTCCGCAAAAAGCTGCACAAGTTCGAGGAGACTAAGAAACAGTAAGTACCCAAAGGGCACTTGTGGTTCTTGTACAGCTGTCTGATGCTTCCAGTTAAAAAATAAGTGAACAAAAAACGTGACCGTAGAAACATCCAGCCATCCGATCTGCTTTTGCGTGGTGGGAGGAGCTGCCTTACGGACCCTGTGCTGCTGTGTGTGAGAGAGACACAGAGAAGGAGAGGGAGAGGGAGACTGAGCCAGGTGGGTGTGCAGGCACCTGATTAATGGCCCCATCTCTTCAAAGTGAGCGACAGATTGTGGTCCACCTCTGGATAGGGCTTCACGTGGCTCCCGTGGCCTCTGTGCTGACTCAGTGTCCTTTAGAGCCCTGAGTAGTCAGTCGAACACCCCAAGTATAAAGCCCAGAACACATCATGTCCCTTCCTGACGGACAGCAATGGGGGACATTTCCACTTTTAAAAAGATCTGGGGGGCTACACGGGGCTACTGTCCTGAGCTGAAAATTACTGGGACAGGGGGACTAGATAAAGCGGCTGCCACTGAGCTCAGGAAGGTGTGTCTGGGATCCCGGGGCCTGGGGAGAGAAGCTAAAGTGGAGAGCTGGCCCCATTGCCAGCCTCTCTGTGCCGGTGACCAGGCATGCAGGGCCAGCAGGTCTAGGCCCGGCCCTGGCGATTGGACGAGTACACACCACGTGTGTGAGCAGTGGGAGAAGCAGGCAGGCAGAGGGTGCCACAGACCACAGGGCAGGCTCTCCCCCCGATGCAGAGGTGTTGGAGAGAGCCTGAGTCCAGGCTCCTGCTTGGGACACCTGGTGGACATTGGCAATCTTCCAGAATGCCACCCATCACCACTGACATGGGCCGAGGGGTGTGAGTGGGAAGTGGAGGGGATAGTGTAGATAGTCCCAAAGGGCCTGAGACCAACTGCAAAGCAGAGAAAGCAGATGAAAGTCTCCGGTTTGGGGAGGATACTTCTGGTGGGAGCATGTGTCTAGGCCGGCAGGAATGATGAGGGCGGGTGTGGGAGGGCAGAAGAGAAGAGGTGGTTTGTGGAGCAGGGGTCAGGAGAAGATGCAGAGGTGGAGCCAGGCCCTTCATCCTGGAAGGGATGGAAGGGACAGGAGAAGAAGATGGGGTTTCAGAGAGAGTTTTCAGGTGGGAGGGAGCAGCCAAGGTAATGACTGAACAGCTGGTGCAGAATGTGAGGCTGAAGGCGTTGAACTTCTCAACTGAGAGTGGCACAGTTTGAGAGCAGGTGAAGCAGAGGCCCAGGGACTGTGGAGAGAGGCCTGCAGGTGGCCGGGAGAGAGTTCTAGCATACGTGGTGGGGCCAGGGGGCTCAGCCCTGTGCTGCCATGGCCGGGAGTCAGGGCACAACCAGAGAAGCTGAACTTAGACTGGATCGGGGAGGGGGTGAGAGGTCAGGGTGGTGGCCTAGGAGGTCAGGGATGCTCTTAGAAATGTCACTGACCATGGACAGGGCTGGATGACCGAGCAG